TGCATTACTACGCGTTAGATTACCACGCATTAGATTCCTACGCTTAGAATTACCACGCGTTGCATTATTACGCGTTGGATTACTACGCGTCGAATATGCACGCGCTAGATTACTACGCGTTGGATATCCACACGCTGTATTAGTACGCGTTGGATTACTACGCATTGTATTACTACGTGTGGGATTACCACGCGTTGCATTAGCACACGTTGCATTACTACGCGTTGGATTACCACGCGTTGGATAACTACGCGTTATCCGAAGCTGTCGTTCTCGCGTCTGCGCACGTGCAATCCTCGCGCTCTGATTGGTCCGTGTTTTTCCTTAATAATTCAAAAACGAAGCTTCAAATCCCATTTTTGCAAAGGGAAATCTTATTCAGAATCACGTCAGCTACCTCTTATTTCAGGGACACTAGTTGTGAGATACCCTGTATAATATAATACATATAATACATATAGTATAATACACTTGATATTATAATATATTTGTTAAATAAACGACAGTAATAATAATATGAAGTTCTATGGTACAAATACTAAACTGAGACTACTTCTCAGACTACTAAAAACTTCATAATGCTTTTAATACTTCTCTTAATACTTCACAATAATTATAAAAAATATAATCATCACAAAACTTACTTTTATCAAAAATAGATTCAAATCAAAGCTTGCTGGCTAATCTTTCAACTGTCTCTCATCTTGTATACCTAAATACCAAATACAACATGCTAAACAATATGCTAAACCCAATACCAGAAGACAACCAAAAATAATCGAATTTAAAATGAACAATCGAAGTGAATATGTCAGCGGGAGCCACAGTAGCAATTATTAGCGATACTGTTTCGATGTAGCAAAACGAAATTCCGTTTCTGCATGGGTGTAATTTGCTGGCGAACAACGACGTTAAATCGACACCCACAATGCTCATCGATGCAGTGCAATCGAAGTAATTCGATATACGTGCTCACGAATGAAACAACATCGCGTGGGCCGATTGCGTATTCTCTTGGATAACAACATTAATACGAAACAATCAACCGATGTAACTTGGAATCAAAGTGCTTTTGATTTCCACGATCATGCAATCCCGTTACAAGGGACACGGGTTGGGATGAACTTCGATATGTATGCGTATGCCATTGATTGCGCCACGTGGAAATGTTCGGTATTTGAAGATTTTATGATTTTGGGGATTTGAGGAATTTCGGCTATTTGCGTATGTGAGTAATTTTGGAAATTTGGGAAATTTGAGCAATTTGAGAAATTTGAGAATTTGGAGATTTAAGTAATTTGGAATGTTTGAGTATTAAGAAAATTTGGGACTTTGGGCATTTAAGTAATTTGGAAAATTTGAGACTTTAGATGTTTAAGTAATTTGAAAAATTTGAAACTTGGCAATTTGAGAATTTTGGAATATAAAAATTTGCATACTTGAGAATTCTGAAGTATAGAAATTTATAAATACTTGAAAATTTGAATATTTGAGAATTTCGAAGTATATAAGTTTGAAAGTAAAAAATTAGAAAATTTTTTAAATTGAGAGCTGCATTGTATCCAAGTGTGCATCGATTATTCTGAGAGCATAAAGAACCCTCGCTGTTCCATTCAATAAGATTGCATCTCTCAATCGATATCAGTATTCAATGGCTACCGAGTCTGCTATCAGAATTTTTATCGAGTCTCTTGCAAACGTTACGTTCCTTCGTTATTCTTCTTTATGCGTCCTAAGTATGCACGTGTCTCTCGAATTTTTTTACATAATTTAATAAACCTATGACAACAGAAAAATCAGAAAAATTCACAAGCATCGCCCGTCTTAAATTTGCAAGAATTAAAATCTGTTAAATCAAATCCTTCCAAAAAATGAATATACAGAAACTTTTCAAGATGCACAGAAATAAAGGATACAGAGGACTATTGTACCAACGCAACTATTTCAAGGAATGTGACGGAAGTCGATACATAAAGAACATCCTTATCGGTCTGATAAATAGGAAACTCTATTTCACCAAAATGCTTAGCAATCGATGCACGAACTACTTTACTAAATAGAACTAAATAGAAAATTATGGTATCTTATCGTTAATGCCGCTATAGATGAATGCGGAAGAGGATACAAATATGTGATATCCTTTATTTGATATCGTGTTTGATCTAGGGCAGGGGTTCTTGAACCCATGTCCTCCTGTTGAACATTCTATTCCCATCATTTTTACTAATTATTGTTTGCAATTGAATGCAATTTTAGTAATTTGGTAATTTTGGTAATTATGTATTTAAAAATTTGAAAGGTATTTTTTAGAGCTCTTTTTAAATCATTTTGCATACGGTATCATGAAAGTGGCGTCAGGTAGGTCTGTGTTGATATACCGGGTCGTCGACATCGTTCTACTATCACTATGTTCCGCTGCGTGCGCGCTATGCAACAGAACTGATAAGATGACGAGAGGTAACTTACGTCCGATGCACTCGCTTTCGAACGGAGATGAGCAACCATGAGATGAGTTCATTTTCAATAAATATTCTTGTGGCTATCTTCTTTATCCCTGGGTTTACATTCTGTTTGCAGTTACTTTTAAATTGAAAATAAAGTGTGATCGAAAATTTGAAATTTGGTAAGATGGAAATTTGATAATTTTGAAATTTAAGAATTTTGTGATTGGACAACTGAGGTAATTTGATGATTGGACATTTGACAATTTAGAAATTCAAAAATTTGACAATTTGATAATTGAGAAATTTAAGAATTTGATAATTTACAAATTGTACTATTTGAA